TGGGCTCGGCGCGTTGACAAGCGTGGACCGAAGTCTATCTGCACGCGCTGTACTACTGGAACATATGGGACGAGATAAAAAAGGATCATGACCAATCCATGTATGTATCCTTAACCCCGATGGGATGCAGTAGCGTACATTTAAGGAGTGACATAGGATGAAAAGCGGGTAAGGATACTCACCGTGAAGGCGGAGCGGCTACCTCCGGCACCGGTTTGGACGTCGAAGTCAGCGTCTGCACAGAGTTCACCACCCTGTTCGGACAGACTAGTACTGCATTCAGAGTCGGTCAACTGAAGGTCCTGCGCTACCAGAGTGTCGGAGAGTTCTCTTCCACCGAAGGGTATAGAATCGGCAGGAGCTTCAGTTGCGGAGAGCTGTAAGTAAAAACAATGACGTGCTCTCTTACCAAACACATACAGTTTTTGTTAAAGAAATTCCTAGTCAAGAGCACAGTCCGACAACTCACCCGTGATCGTTCATCCATGAAGGCTTGGCTAGAGTACTCCATGTCATTTAATGAGATTCGAGAGTCAACCCGACTACTATAGGGTGAACGTGCGGTCTCATGGTTTCGTGAAAGTTGAGATTCATCTTGTGATAGGATATCTTCGTCCAAGAAATCATTGATAGGGGACGCTGCCTCAGGCGTAAGGTCACCCGCAGCGTTGAGGTACATGCCTGAACACGAGAGTACATATTTGTGGAAAATAACGTAATTCGAAAGGACATAAGCTGAAGTTTCAATGCAGAATCGAAGAAAATAACATACCCTCCTCGCTGGTCCGTCGGCGCTTAGACACTGACCCGGAGAACCTGTGAGAAATGGCCTCCTCGCCGATTTCTATCTCGTCCTCTTCTGTCTCATTCGGCGAACCTCTGCGCTTACCACCTAACCGTTGCTTTGATGTGTGTAAGCTGTCTTCATCGTCGCTGTAGAGGTCGGCGCCGTACCAAACCCCATTGCTACAACGTCGCGCCGAACGTGATGTATCGGTGGGATTTAATGACTCTGTTGTTGATGCGGCTAGTTTCGGTGACACGCACGTTGTCTGCTCCGCCCGCGGGTTCGGCTTTCTTTCCTGACGGACAGCAAAAGCGACGGGAGGCGTTCGCCGACGGA